TGGGGAAATTGTACATTAATGTCGCTATTATCTATCAATGTTCCAAGATTGGCAATAATAGACTGGTAACAGATTCAAAGTGATTTCCCTTGTTGAAGGGAATACCTATAAAGAGAACAATTACAAAGAAAATGTTTTCCTACTGCAAGATGGGCTTATCAGGTGCTTGTTAAATGCCTAGGTATCTAAGGTACTTCCAGAGCTTAAGTATGGCATGGCTGTGGCTTTGGAGCTATGCATACGATTTGTTACACATTGTATAGAGTGCATGAGTTCTTGCCCCATACTGTAACTTTCCGGGCTTACTTATGAAACTATTGGTGGGGGAGGGAAGAGAAACTGTCTTAAGCTGCAATAAGTGGAGTCAACCATATGTCACTCCCATGCGTTGGACATTTATTTAGGGTTTAACTATTTTAAAGTTCGATTAGATGGGTTAAATTTCTCAAAATGCTGTGAAAACAGGAGGGTCTATTGCTTAAATCCCCCATTTAACTGATAGGGTTTAAGAAGGTATTACATGAGTCAGCTGTCTTGTAATGTCCAATTTAGGGTGTTCCTGGGATTCTTATCTCAAGTCCCAGGTGCTAGCCACTTTTGGAAGTAGAGCAGTAGACTAGATAAACAAATCACTGATCTGACTTGGTATGCCAGGTCTAGTGAACACTTGTAGTAACTATTTTCTTTCCTCTTCAGATCAGTGTGCGAGTTACCACCATGGATGCTGAGCTGGAGTTTGCCATCCAGCCCAACACCACGGGGAAGCAGCTCTTTGATCAGGTAAGGTGATGCACCTGTGGAAGACCTACATTTTGAGGACGACTCCTCTTGCTTGCTTTCAGCCTTCATAGATGCAGTTGCCCAATATAATTTGGAGGCTCTTAAGAGTGCAACAGCCCTCCAGAGAAACTAGTATGGTATAAGGCAGGGGTTTCCAACCTTTTCATGCTGAGGACTGGCAAGCTGCAGACCGGAAGTAACAGTGCACCAGCAGTGACCAGCATACCGCGGGCCAGCAGCCAACTCTTTTTTTTTTTTTATATATTTGCTTCCAGTCCGCAGTTTTCTGGCCCATGGTCACTTCTGGTCCAGCCGCCAACCCTTTGTGGCCTCGTAGTGGGCCGTGGCCTGGGGGGTTGGGAACCCCTGGTTTAAGGAACTATGTGGCATCGTGTCCCAGCCAGCACCTGCTTACTTGCGTTTCCGTAACTCCTGGAGTATAAAATGTTGTCTCCATCTTCAGAGTACCTTTTGTATCTAAGGCAAATTACATGTTAAAGTGGGAGAAGACAAACATACAAACTGTTTACTTTGACATGATTGGTCAATTTATTGTCAGTGACATAGTAGCTGTTGGTCTCCAGGTGTAGCTTGGAGACTAGAGCAGTGGTTCCCATACAGGTACCATCAGTGGTATGCCGACATCCTATCAGTGGTACATGTTAACAGATTTATTATAATGGCTTTATAATTACTTTTATATGACAAATTTGCTGGTGGTACTTAAGGTTGTATCATTTCAAATTGGTGGTGCCTAATCTGTCAGTTTGGAACTGCTGGACTATAGTAATGCCCTTATGGGACAGGAGAAGTAAAGCTGATGTTCCAGAATGGAAACTCCCCTCTATGTAAAGGCAGTTTCAGTCTGCAGTGAGGAGTGAAAGCTTACCTGACCATTAAATATTATCGCTTTACTGATGTCAAGTGTGATGGGGAGCCCTTGATGCTGCAAGTCTCTTCCCAGGTACAGCTGGCTACATCTTGATGCTCTGGCTTTTCTCCGTACTCATTGGCTGGAGTTGGGAGGAAGTCAGCTCAGCCAAACAGAAGCAGGGAGACATGTGCAGCCCAAACTTGGAGCTGTGAATACAAAGACATTATCAACTGCAGCTGTTAAAAAAACTTCGGCAGACTCCATTACACAGCTCGGCTGTAATCCCAGAGGCCCTATCCAGGCTACTGCCCAGCCGCTCAGAGCATCCGTTTAGCTTGTAGAGTGATGCAATCGTGTCTCAGACACTGGGGGCTTTGTCAAGCTGCTGCTGAGAGGAGAGAGGAAGAAATCAGGAGCTGGCCTTGCAGAAGAATCTGAACAATGAATGATTAACTTAAGCTCATTTTCATTTTTAAGCTCTCTTGTCTGCTGATTCCTGGCCTTGAAATAAATCATGCAAGTGGGTGTGGCTCTCAAGAAACCCTAGACATTCTGGGGCCAGCCTTTGCTCTGAGTCTGGACTGTTGAGGGAAGGGAAAGTCCATTACGGTTAATGTATCCATAAAGCGGTCTGTCTCATTTGGGACCAACACTTAATTTTGCACTACACTTAAATTTTTCTTCCTTAAATGCTTCAGTGCTAGCTGGTGCAATGGCTTTCTTGTAATGCAGTTCTGCAATATGGAAGAATAGGGTGACAATCGCACCTGTACCCTTTGTAAGGCCTAGTGTTTCAAGATATCTAAGGGGAGTAAACTTCTTTTTCTTCCTCTGTAAATTCCCTTTCTAAAGAGTACATAGTTGCTGGCTTGGGCTGCTTCCTTGCTGCTGTATAGCAGTAGCTCCTCATGGTTTTAGTCCTGTGATTTGTGACTTTCTCAAATAACAATTTAGTTATCCCTATAGAATGTTTTGGCATATAGGACTAACCAGCACAAATGTACATTTAATAGCAAGCACAGTACATTGTTACTGCAACATGATGGAGTAAGTGTAATGCTAAGATGTTTCAAAGTACATGAATTGAGAGCTTGCAATTCTGCATAAATAATCACTTTTTTTTTTTCCCTTACCCTCCCCACCTTGGAACAGCTCAGTTGGACAGTTCATAGGTTCCTTATGCTTATGCTTCAGGGTCTAAACTTAGACATGCTTAACAGGCCTGTGCAAAGCGGCTAGTATTCGCTTTGGAGTCAGATTCAGGGGACAGTGGTCTGATTCAGTGACTTGAATCACTGTCCCAAATTGGTTTGGCTGAATCTGCTGCTGAATCTCTGAATCAAACGGGCCCCATTCCCTATCTCCTCTCCCAGCCCTATCAAAAACAAAAAAAGCCCCGCACTCACTGGATGCTGCAGCAGTTGCTGGGACCACTGGGGGCTTGTGGCAGAGCCACCCACGCAGCACAGGGCAGTGGGGGATTGCCCCCCTGCCTGGCAGGAGCTAGTAAGTGCAGGCTTTTTGTTTTTTGTTTTTTTTTTTAAGGATGCTGAAGCTGGGTACAGCAGCCATTGATGGGGCTGGGGGAACAGGCAGGAGATGGGGCCTGGCAGGGGTGTCGTCCTGTTCCCCCATGGGCCGCTCCCTCTTCCTCCACTCCTGCCCCCTGTCCTTTACTTACTGGTACAGAGTCCAGGTCCAGCTCCCTGCAGTAGCAAGCGGGGACTGCCTGAAACTCTCCAAATCTTTTTATCGAATAGTTTTGGAGGGCTTCAGATCAATTTGGACCTTTTTTTGGTCTCCTGATTTGATTTGGACATTTGGCCTCCAAATCGAATTGGTGCATGAAGCTTTGCACAACCCTAATGCTTAACCATGTAGAACAATGATTGTCAACCAAGGGTACGCCTACCTCTAGGGATACTTAAATGTCATAGGAGTTATGGGGGGCTTCTGCCACTGCATGCACCTGATGGAGACTTGGGGGGCCCATGGGCCCCTTCACCCCCAATCTGTTTGGGGCAGAGGCAGCCGCTGCTACATGATGGGCTTTGCGCATACCACTGCAGCTGCCCTGGGAGTGGTGCGACGCCATGTGCCTGCCACTGCTCTTCCCTTCCCCTGCAGACTTACTGGCAGGAAGAAGGGAGGTGCATGTGCACATGCACTCAGCTTCCCCCCCCAATAATTCTAATATAAAGGGGTACATGAGCTGAAACTGAGACAGAAGGGGTACACTTGTTTAAAACAAGGTTGAAAACCCCTGATGTAGAAGAAGGGTCTGTTGAAGTACTACTTACTTCAAGAGCTCTTGTGGCTGAGTGAACCAGGGAGCTGGGGGTTCCCAATCCGGCCTAGCTTGCAACTCAACTGGTTTTATTTTCCCTTGAGGCAGATCTTGTGTTTGGGTTTTTTTGTCCACAGAGTGCATGCAGGTGCTGAACATTAGTTTTCAATGACTTGAGTCTGTGTCTTGGAAGCCTTTGATCATGCTTCCTGTATTAAATATAAATAAACAAAATACTGTCACTACTTAGTAATTACATTCCTTTGTCCTGCTTTTGGGCAGCTGTTGTAGTATCTCCCCATGGCTTATTTCCACTGCATCTGTGTGAAATTAAAATTCTGTTTAAGAAAAGAAATCTTCCAAAGTGAGAGGTGAGGAATTGTGTTCTAGAGCTGCATTATCATGGGCAGCTGCTGCTGCAGGCAAAGCACACTTTGCATGGTTTGCAATGGTTGGGTTACAGGCAGGGTCACTTGTCTTCTCCCTGTTCTCCGTACTTCTGGCTTGCTAAATCATACTGCACGGGGGGGGGGGCAGGGAAACAAAAGTAAATCCTTTTGGCTTTTAAGTGCCCAAGTTTCTTTGGGAATCTCAAGAGTCCAATTCCCCTAACTGCCCTGGTGGTACTGAGCACCCATAAATGTCACGGGAGTAGCCATGCTCACTGACTCTGAAAGTGAGCTAGTTCTTGGGTCTACTTTTTAAAAGCTGCACCAAGCTAGACAGACCTACTTTGAAATTTGTTGCACGCTTTTTTTTTAAATTTTTTTAAATGGCTTTCTTCAGTGCTAGGGCTGGCTTTGCTTTTTCTTCCTCTGACAAAACACGGGAGAATCAGGAAATGTAGAAGGCTTCTTGAAGTATGTCAGTGCAGTAGCAGTGTGCCAATATATCAGATTGGCACAGATATAAAAAAAAAAATAAAATTGGCTGTATTGGAAATCTGCCTTGTAGTCGATTTAAATGCCCTGTTCATTCACACAGCCACAATTTAGCCCGTAGGCAGCAAGCAGCATAGCCCAGCAGCTTGGAGAGCTGTGTGCAGCTGGTAAGTCTGTTGTGGTGGGAAGGGGCGGGGGCGGGGGGCACACCAAGGCCCCTGCAGTGAGGGAAGGGAGTGGGGCTGGAAAAAGTACTGCTCCAGCCAAGGTGGGGCAGGGCAGGGATGGAGCTGTGGCTCATCAGGGGGGTGGGGGTTGGGGGGGGGGCTTCTGCCACTGCGCACACCCTGGTAGGGTGTGGGGTGGAGGTGCATGTGCCTCTAGATCTGTCGGGGGGAGGTGGGCTGCTGTTGGGGCTGCAGCAGCTGGGCTAGGCTGTGCTCAGGATGGGCAGTGGTGACACTGCCTGGCAAGGGTTTGGGGGGCCTACAGCAAATTTTGGGGTGGCTGCAGCCCCCCTAGCACTACTGCCACCTGCCCTGAGTGTAGTCTGGCCCAGCTCCTGCTGGGAAGAGCCTGGCGCAGCCCCAGTCCCAGCCACGCCCCATCCCAAGGGGGACATGCCCTCCCATGGTGTGCAGTGGCGGGAGCTGCCCCACCCTCCCTGTGCCTCTTGGATGAGCCATGGCTCTATCTGCCCTGCCCTGGCTGGGCACTGCCTGCCTCAGCCCGGCTCCCTCCCTCACCATGGGGGCCTTGATCTGCACACCCCCCTTCTTCCCCCTCCCCTTACATCACACTTACAGCATGGAAAGCTGCGTGCTTATCGGATATTGGATCAGCATTGGCTGATATGGCTCCTTAAAAATCAGCTTTGGTGCACCCCTGCAGTGCAGTTCCCTTTTTTTTTTTCCCTTCAGACTTCCACTTTCAATTAGCCATGTATTCTTAGTACAGC